CTAGGACAAATCCGGAGAAGTCCGGACGGATGGCAGCCCTAACTAAGAGTGAATTCTTGAGAGTTAATCAAAACTTTTTTATATAAAAGTAAATGACACAACCTCGAAACTTTTTGTGAGTGTTCTCGTGTGTGCAATGTACATTTTTAATGCGTGGAAAGACCACTGAAGTGCTTTATTTTTTTCCAACAGTGAGGTAGAAATGCACAGATTTTTAAAAGGTAGAAATAAGAATCACAAAAAAATAAGTAAAATTTATTAATAATATGTAATACAATAAAAAAACAATTAACATAAATAATATGTAAATAAAACTTTCAAATTTAATCTTTTTACTTACTACTTTTTGTTTTAGCAAAACGTGCTTAAATCTTTAAAAATGAAAAAATAACGCGATTTCTGGTCTTGTTTTGTAATTTTTTGGCGAAATTTTGCAAAATATTTACTTTTTTACCTGAAAAAATCGTACTAAAACACCTGAAAACGGCAAAATAATGACAATATGGAGTTTTGTGGACCTGTGTCGGCAAAATCTCGCAAAAAAACTTGATTTTAATTTTAAAACTTGAAGACTTGAAAACGTGAAGTAACACGATTTTCGACCAAATTGTATTTTTTTTGGGTTATTTTTTGACAAAATTTCAGTCAAAACGAGCTATTAAATCGAATGAAACAAACGAGATATCAATTTAAATCTAATTTGGTAATTTTTCAAACTGTTTTAGCAAAACTTTGAATTTTTGAAACCGCAGTACTATAAAAATGCAAATTTAACACTAATTTTGGCTTAATTTGATAAATTTTTGGTTTGTTTTTAACAATATTTCTCAAAATAGTTCTAAATTTTTTTATTCTGTTGAGTGAAATCCCATAAAAGAAAAAACAAATAAAACTATTTCTTAGCTAATGTACAAGATTATAATTTACATTTTTTTAATACTGTCAAAAACGTGCTTACACTCTTGAAAAAGGCTAAAATAAAACTATTTTTTTCGTGTTTCGTACCAAAATTTTGCAAAATATTTACGTTTTTACCTAAAAAATGTGCTAAAACATTGGAAAAAAGCAAAATAATGATTTAATTTGGTGTTTTTTGGGCTTACTTTAACCAAATCTCGCAAAAACTGTGATTTTAGACTTGAAAAAAAAACACAATTTTTGGACAAAATTTTATTCAAAAGGATCTAAATCGAATGAAACAAACGAAATAACATTAATTTCGATTTATTTTTTATTTATTTTTAAAACAGCTAAAATAATATTAATTTCATTTGGTAAATTGGTAATTTTTCAGTCAGTTTTAGCAAAATTTTGGTAGTATTTTTAACACTATCAAAATGCAAAATTAAAACTAGTTTTGGTCTAATTTGATAAATTTTCTTTTTTAACAAAACTCCAAAA